GTTACTAAAAAGTTACTAAAGGTGATAACGTCCCAAAAGGTGCTAAAAAGGTGAAATAAAATTCTCTTAAAATACCCCCAAAGGGGTATATCGTGTGCCCCCAAACTTTCAGGAGGTTCTCCGCTTTTGGGAGAAAAAGTTATTTAACTTCAAATCAATGCTTTATTTATATTGTTTCTTTAACAGAATAATTAACATTATAAGTGTATAATTGCTTTTACAAACACTCAATGTCAAAATAATAAATTATATTTTTAAAACTTGTATGAAATATTTCAAACAGATTCTCAATAATTACCATCTTTTTAAAGATAGGTATTATTATTTGATTAAATAAACACGGTGGATGGTTTTGAGCGAAACGACCATATAGACTAAATATTAACAATATGCAGCAGGTGTAATGTAAGAACTCTTAGAGTTAATCGGTATACGGTAGAATTAAAAATAACTATTGATATTTAGGTATAATTTTTTAAAAGTAAAATGTTGTTTTTTATGAACTAAAACTCATTAAATAAACAATTGTTATAAATAAGTAATTTTATTTCTAGCCATGCTTTTAATTAATTATCTTATGAATCAGATTAATTGAGCTTTTTAAAATAATGCCATCAATTAATTTGATTCACTGATTAACCACTGGATCCCACCTTTAGATAATAAATACTAATGATTAAGCACACTTTAAAAAACTAATTTTATAAAAAGCCTATACTTGAATTGTAATTATAGTTTAATAAATAAATAGCTAGATTTTTTTTTGTAAAATTGTATTTTTATTTATAAGTTGTTTTGACTAGATAAACAAAATGCAGTGAATTCGGGACAAGTATTGCAAACAAAACCATTTTTACATAACATTAAACATAATTCATCTCAAATTTGATAACAAGGGCTTCATTTTGTTGGGCATATATTATCCTCATTTAATAGGAGTGAACGCAAACACCAATCTTCTCGTCAAACTGAGTGCCGGGTCCGCACTGGCGCTCAACCGTCTGAAACTTACCGCCGCCTAAACTGAGACACTGGTAGTAACGGGTCGGGTCCTTAGGGTCCACGAAACTGCCGGCAGCGGTGCACACAAAATCACCCGGTCCTGGCTGTGGGGGTGCTGTGGGCCCAACCGTTGCGCCCGTTGGTTCGGGTGGTGGCGGGGGTGGAGCCACACCTCCGCGCAAAGCGTTGTTAATCTGGGTCAAGAGTGGGAACCTTCCCTCACCGCACACGCCGTTAAAGTCGTCGGTATCTATGGACCAAATACAGGCGCCGCCCAGTCCTCGGCTCTTCAGGAAATTCACTTTCTCGGTGAGACTCGTCTGGTCGTCGTAACCGATCCATTGGTTACCCCTCACGGCGTACGGGATCTTCTGTGTGTCGTCGCGGTATCGGCTCCACGACTCGGTCCGGAATTTGTCGCAAATCTATGTGGTTTTTGGTGTGTTAATTGTGTTTGGTATTTAATGTGCATGGTGGTTTTATTTGTGCATTTTAACAGACCTCCAAATATCCTAGAATTCCCACTTGTCTAGTATAGGGTCCCTCATCACCGCCGGCGCCTTCAGCCGGTGCCTGCAGACCAAAGTTTGCCGGATTGGCCAATTTGAATGATCGACCATATAATGGGAGTCCCATTACCTGTTGTATTCAACCAAATCATATACTGTAGGTCTCAATTCTGATTAAGTACTCAATCACTGTAAGACATACCAGTTTCTGTGGGTCGGCTCCGGCATTGAGCCAAAAGTCAACACCATATGAGACGGTGAACATAGTGTCCTGTTCGTTGGCATTGGCCCAGGGGTATAGGGGCGCGTTGTGGGCTAAAGTATATTACGGACACATTTTTTGTACATAGTTTTTAGTGATTTAATTGTAATAAAAAATACCTGTTCTCTTATCCCAACCGCCGTTAAAATCATAAGTCATTAGATTTATGAAATCTAATAAATCGCTCAATTCTTTGACGAGATATCCGCGGCCAGCGGTGGGCGCGCCGGCAGACACGGCCGCCGCCAACAAATAGCCCCTCGGCTTAAGTACGGCGTGTAATTCGCGCACCAATGATATGAAGTTGTCTTTGTCGGCCGCGTTTCCCGGCAATCGGTCCACACCTCCCACTGCTGTGGTTACTGGATATTCCCTGTGGGTATTGATGGTCTTATATTGTTTGTATTGTAACTTATGGCGTGATTTGTTAGGGAAGGGGAAGGGATGTCATACCAGTCGAGATCCAAGCCGTCAAACTTGTGCTCCAGAAGGAAGTCAAGGCATGACTGAACAAACACTCGCCGCGACTCCGGGTTGGAGACCATCTTTGAATACTTGTCCGAACCCTCATTCCAGCCGCCGATCGATATCATTGTCTTGAGGTTCGGGTTCTTTGTCCGCAAATTATTGAAGTGTCGGTACATTCCTGTTGTGTATTAATGAGACAAAATGATTGGTATTTTACAAATTTACATTTCAGACTTTGTAAATAATAAGTTAACACAAACCTCGACCCCAGGGAAGACCGCTGTTCCAGTCCTCATCGCCTAAGTCCAGGTCGGCCTCAAACACCTCGATCTTATTGGTGAACTCGTTGAGTTTGGCGAACCCGTACATCATGTGAGTACATAGATTTGGGTCCATGTTTGCCGGTTGGAACTATTTGCGTGATGGTAATAATTGCATGGTTAAACATTGTGATAAATAATAAATTAGTCATTTATGATTTTGCATACCTGTCCGGCATTAGGCCTGTAGTATGACCACGAGCCCCAGTAACAAACCACTTTGTATTGGCCATTACTCCTGTTTACTATTGTTAAATAAGATACAATTAGTTTACAATTTAATTTAATTTATTTATTATAGCAAACCTGTCGCTGAATCCAGCGATGAAAACAAGACAAATAGACATAAGTTTAGAAGAATATTCATTATAACTACTATAGGAATAAATTACTATAAAATTTTCTACAAAATATTATAGTTCTTGTGCTTTGAATGCAAAACACAATTAACTATTGAATCGCTAATACATTTGTTCGTAATATTTATACTTTTTGATCAATTAATTTCACTTACAGTGAGAAAGGGTAGGATTGGTACGTAAGCTCCGAGGTATGCCTTGTAAGACAGATCGTTTTTGATATGATAAAATCAATATTGATTTATTAGGAATTAAATTAATCAGTCTAGCACTAATTAGTCATAAAATACATAATATGACAAATTCTGGTACCAGTTGTTGGGTTTCGGGAGGAAAGGGTGGGAATTGACACTTAAGATAATCATTGTTTGTTATAATGCCTAATGATTTACTAATAAAATTATATAAAATATAAGTAATATTTATTTAAAATTAAAAATTGAAAGTTATAAGTTGTGCTTTCATGATGATTTATAGTATATTACATAATAACATTTGTTTTTAATGGTGCACATATAATCTTTAACTCTCTCTCTCTCTCCACTAATCCTATGCTAAATCATTCCGACATAAAAATGTNCTCTCTCTCTCTCTCTCTCTCTCTCTCTCTCTCTCTCCTCTAAAATAATTCATAACTAGTTTTCGCAATTATGATAAAACATAATAAATATAAATTTAATTCTTGATATTAAAAGTGCTGTATTAACACAATTAAGCAATAAAAAGTGTATCGGTGAATTGTGATATATGATATAAATATTGGGCTATGTCTGACGTAATTACCAGGACACATTCATAAATTACATTGTATGGCTTTTAATATATCTCACGTAGACTTTGCTTTAAAAGTATAATGAGTTTGAATTTAATTAATTAGAAATGCCTTATAAAGACATTCTTTCATCATGGTAAAGGGTTTTAATTAATGAATTTTATCGATTAGAGTAAATGATTGTTAGTGAAAATATTTCATATTATAATCGATATAAAATTAACCAGTATGAATCAATAAATTTATCTATAAATATTTGATTTGTAATTTTGTATCCGGAAACTATATCTTGTTATCATTTAACTAGTTATCATTATTTGTTAAAACATTGCTAATATATTTGGCAAAATTAAATTGCTTTAATAATTAAAATTTATAAAACCAAGAACATACGTACTGTACATCATAAATAAATTATTCATTATATAATGTAATATATCCTAGATTCTAGGACCTAGAATATAAGAACCCAATTTGATCCTTGCTTTCCAAGGAGTTAGTATACTATGTACTGTATAAAGAGTTAAGGTAATACCAAGGTTAGTTAAAATTTATGAGGTATACCACACAATCTTTTGACAGATTATTTATCAATAATGCACCAGAATGTACAAAGGTGGGGCTTTTCTGTTAAAGTCTATTATAAGTTTTATGACCAAGGTGTGTTTGTCCGTACAGAAGCTCCATATCAACGATAGAACATTTTGGTGACAATTATTAATTTATAGACTTGTTTTTGTTCTGGGATTTGACATCTTATTTGAATTATACATTCACTTAATTTAATCAATAAATTAGTTATGTTTAAACGAGTGTGATAATTTTTATGAATACTTTATCATATAACATCTCACTGAAAATGTTTAGTTAATAAATGTAATGTAAAATGGTAATAGTTTTAAAAATATTGTGGTATTTTTCAATATATTTTAACGAATATATTTGAAAATTCTAATCGTACCAGGTAATTATAAATGAGATTTGCGATTCATTGCTAAACATTGTTTATTATCAATGATGTTGCTATTGGTGTTATTTATAAGTTACAAATTTATATTTAAGCTACGATTTCATTCTGTAATTTTAAATAACAATTACTTTATGTTAGTTCATAAAAATATGCGCATAATATAAAACAAATATTGAATATATACATTTAAATTCTGTAAATTATGGACAAATGTCAAATTATAATAAAAATATATAAAAGTTTAATGACCATAATTATATAAAAGCTATTTTTATGTTAAGAATGCAATTAAAATGAAATTATATTTGAATGATTGCCTGTCAGTAATCATTACTATTGTTTTCTATTGATATAGTAATTGCACAACAAATAAATAAAAGCACAATTACATAATCACATTTTAAACATTATAATAAAAACATTAGCAGTACTAATGTACTAATTTAGCACTAAACACGCAATCTTAATAATATTTTATGAAATTAAGTTTTAGTTTATATTTCATAGTTTAAAGTTTAAATTAAATGATCATAATTATAAGTAAAGTTAAAAATGTCGTTTAAAACTAATGATAATCGTATTGAACAATACCAACAGTCTGTCCGAAATGGTCTGCACTTTTTGCGGCAACACATGTATCGGACGGGTATTTGTAAGTTTTCAAGCGGTGGTTATAGACGGTCGGGACACTATCACCCGGCCGTCATCGCTACGGTCAATGTTGTGCTGATCCTACGGCACATAATATGCCTGTTTATAGCGGACACGTCGACCGGCGCCGCGCTGTTGGGCGACTTTGCCATCGGTTGGCGACTCCGACACCACTTTCACGTACTTATGATATCTGTATTATTGTTGCCGTTTATAACGCAAGCGATGTTTTATTATCGTTATGTTGTACACGATTCCCGTTTTCTGTACACCTATGAACGCGATTTTCAAGAATTACAGTTAATTCAGTTAAATGGCTATAAGAGTAGAGTTGTTTTCAAAGCACTGGACATGACATTTACATATATCTATTTGCTGACAATGTTTTCCCTGTCATTTATATCGCTGTACTTATTGAACACAACACCGATATATGTATGTCTTGTGGCCATTCCGTGGTCAGTACTGTTTGGTCTCTTTGGTCTGTACGACTCGGGCTTATACTTCTGGCCAATGGTCTACTTTATGCTCATATGTATTGATCTATATCTGGAAACCAAATTGCAAAACAATAGACTCTTAAGATATCAAATGAGTGGAAATATTGAGATGAATTTTATCTCAAAAATATTTGCAATTCATAGCAAATGCCGTCAATTAAACGAGTTTTGGTCGAAATATCTATTTGTCAATTGGTTTACTATTTTGACTATTTTTGGAAGTTTTCTGTTGCAGACACTCTTCGGTGGACTCAGTATTTGGTTTCGCATCACATTTGGGGCACTCTTTATGACAGGAGTCGTGTATTTGAATCTATTGCTGATTCCGGCCATTGTTTTTGCTGAAGAGGCTCAACGCACCCATCAGTATATGTTTTCAATGGTATCATTGCCCAAGAAGTCGGTTATTAACTCACAAATTAAAGTAAGTATATTAATTCAATAGTAAATGTACTCTATGATAGCAAACAATGAAATGTGTATTATTTTTATTGTGATACTTATGGAGTTCATTGACAACATATAGTCTGTGAATATAATATTTATTTTGTAATAATTTATTGATTTATAATTATATTTAAATATTTATTTAAAAGATGATGAGTTTTGTAGAGCACTGCTCGCAAAATACAGTAGCGTTTTATTGCTGGCACTTCTTCGCCGTCACAGCCATTAAATTTGCTGAAGTATTGTATTTTATTATTGCTTTTTTGTACAATGAAGTGACCAAAAGTATATAATTTTACTATGTATAAATATACCCAGCTCAGTTAAGTGTTGACAATTTTAGAATTTAAAATTAACTAGATTAATGTGTGTATATTTAGTACACTGTATACTGTAGAGAATGTAATAACAAAATTATTTAGATAATAATTTGTTAAGTTTTTAAAATAACAAACAATAACTTTAAATTTACTTTTGGTTGCCATTAAAAATATAATATAATATCTGTTTTTAATAAAACATTTTCTCGATCCACAGCTCATCTCTCTTATGGTTGTCGTATTTCTAAAGACAATTGATTTTAACAAATAATTATAATTTTTAATTCATTATCAGTATTACAAATACAGATTACATAGAATTAAAATTAAACTAATGCTAACTTAAAAACTAAAAGTTATATATTAAATTAAAATAAACACCTAATCCATGAGAGTTAATTAAGGCACACATTTATTATATAAATACATTATTGAATTGAACAAACAGTTGCTATTAATAGAGATTTAATAAACAAATTTGAAGATTGAGATAAAGATACACAAAACAATTGATACAATGTTATAACTGTTGGTAAAAGTGCCCGAGTTTTTGTACTCAATGGGAAGGGTGTGTTGTTTGAACATTTCGC